TGTACACGATAATTAATTGGTAAATTTTCACGTATATTTATATCTATATGATCATCTTTAAAATATGGTTTCCAATCATTTATATCTAATATAATTAATTTAAATAAAATAAAAAATGATGTTTGTGTAAAGATTTGCAATTGTAATGAACATTCATGATCATTAAAAAAATTTTTATTACAAATTTGTTCACGATCTAATTCTAATAAACGAAATTTTAATATTGGTGAATCAATTTCAAAATATTCTGATGGATTTGATAATGAATATTGATAATGTTCATATGGAAATGTTGTTAATGTACGATTATAAAGTAGATCAATTAAATTCCATTGTAGTTTGTCATTCGATGTATTTTCATAAACAAATACAGTTAAATTACATATTTCACGACAATCATAAGTTAAAACATTTGGAAGAACAAATAAAATAATAAAGTAGTAAGAATTTATCATGATTATTGCCTTGAGCTTTAGTCACAATAACCTAGAACTATAAGATGAAAAAAAAACATTAATTCAATGTTATTCTTCAATTTAATTGTTTTGTTAAGATGAAAAAAAAATAAATGAGAATACTTTTCAACATAAATCACATACATAGATATCTATATATATATATTTGTGCTAATCAACTTAGTTGTATATAAAAGAAGAGTAGAGAAAAAGGATATGATATACTTTCTTTTCTATACTAATTGGAATATGTAACACATATACACATCAAGAAAAAAGAGAAAATGATCGTAACATAACATCAAACAGTGCAGATATAGCATATTGAGTTTGTCCAAACAGATGCTCACATAGGGATGTATCGATTTGACAACCACCCAAAGCGAGAAGAAAATAAAAAGGGAAAGATTAATAATAGAGAGTTTATTCATTTAAATAACAAAACAAATTTTGATATATTTTCACACTTACTTATGAAAAGAATGTGTTGACAACAAATACTCTCACACCATTAGGATCATATAGAATATATTCTTTTTGTTTTTAACCTAATTAACCTTCTTGTCATGTAGATGAAATCATCGTCTTTTCATCAACTTATCGATAGTAACATCATAACACCACTCCTCTTTTGCTTTTCTATTCTATTTCTTACGAATAAGTCACTCACTTAGTTATTCATTCACTTAGATTGGCACAAAAAGAGAAAAAAGAGAAAGGAAGATACAATCAGTAAGATGGATAGCAAGATGAAACAAATTCTCTCGTGTAAAAGCATGCACGCTTATCTAATGCAATTTCACACAACACATAGTGACTAGAACACCTCACTTATACGCGTGCTTGTCAAAAGAAATGGTTTGTCCTTGAATTAGGGACAGCACTAAGCAGTGTCAAGAGATTTTTCCAGATCGTCGATTACTATGCCGTATTGCTCTTTCTCTCTCTCTCTCGATCGTCGTTTATTTTCTCTTTATTTTGTTTCAATCAGTACTGTCCATAGTGTAGACTGTCAATAAAGCCCTAAGGATGGTGACAACAAGATCGATGAACTTATGTCTGTATGTATACGATGCATACAATTCAAATCTGTGAATCAAGAGTAAATAAGTTTTCTTTTTCTCTTTCTTTTTTCAGGAAGCATGATTGAATGAATGATTAATTTCTTGTTTTACTGGTAGTTCTAGTATATATTCTGATTTACAAAAAAGAGGACTTGTAAAGCAAAAGATCTACATAGACATACAGAAAACTTAATTGAGCACACAACCACTAATGATAATACCTACCGGAAGAATGTCGTTGTTCTTCTTCTTCTTCTTCTTCTTCTTTTGATATTTCTTATTTGAGAGATACCAACTGGTCGTATGAGTAACACAAAAAAGGAATGATTTAGTGATTTTCTAATTTATTTTTAATGAACATGCCATGAATCAAACTCTTCTCAATATGAACATGCAAGCAAGTCGTCTTTGAGCGTTTAGTCTACAATATAAAACAGAAAGAAAGAGAAAAGAATAAGAGACATTTTTTCTCGCTTATAAAACAAGTCACAAGAGAGAATTCTTGCCTACTTCTTGTTCTAATGGTTACCAATACAAAGTCATAATATCAGACTTTGATTTCACGAGAAGAAAAACGGCCTGAGGTTGAGCTTTATGACTAATGCATATACACACCTGCTCATCCGTAGCTGGACACCACGCCCTATATTTGTCTGCATGCAAGAGAGACATACGACAGAGAGAGAGAGAGGGACAGAGAGGGACAGAGAAAAAAAGAAGAAAAAAAAACTAAATTATACAATAGATAAAACCATCTTTATTTTATTTTTCTAATACATAGTTAGTTTGTATAGAAATGCAGAATAGAATGAGTCAATCATAAGAATGACACTTCAGGCCGATTTAATCGAATGGAAAAAAAAGAGTATAATTATTCAAAAAAAATTATTCCAAGAGAGGTGTTGAAGAACAACATGATGAAAGAAAATTTTTATATAATCATCATCATCATCATCATCAACAATCATTCTTCCATTGCTAATGATGCATATGAGATAATGTTGTATGTGATAGAGACAAAGAAGAGATTGTAAAGTGATTTTAATGTGATATCCCATGACGATTAGAACTAGTACAATCAACGTTAAACAATCTCTCGGGAAGTCCATGTGTGTTGTACTACACATTGATTGTCCTTTTTATTTCATATCACGAAAGAAGATCACATCATAAAAATGTCGTCAAAAAAAAAAGAATCGAGCAGAGATTTTTATTATGTGCTTGCATACACACATATACATACACACTCATCTCCACATTGAGATTACGATACTATAGAAGTACGTGTGTGTGTGTGTGCGATTTCCGATCATACTTCAGACGTTGCATTTGATTGAGCATTTGATAGGAGAATGACTGACGGAAGTCACCATTATCATCAGCCTTTCCCTACTATTTCTCTCTCTCTCTCTTTTGACAATGATCGCATTACACAAGTCATATAATAGAATGAAAAATGATGATAATGATGATGATGATCATTGTACGCATCTCACCTTTCTTCAAGGTTCAGGGAATCTCAGCACACTTAAACACACATACACGTGCATCAATGCATAGAAATAGTTAGGCATGATACTTGCCTTGTTGACATGCACACACTAGAAAAGAGAATGTGATACACAAATATACAACAATCATATATATATATATACACATCTGAGAACGATTCTAGGAATAATGATGCAACTACACGGGTGGTAGTCGTCTCGTAACAATTATTACTGTTGATGTTCTTGTTACTAACTTCTTCTTTCTTCGGGCACCTGAACAACTTCTTGTTCCGGCGGGCGGGTGAAAGCTGCTGTTCTAAACACAATCATCGTTGTGTTTATTGTTTCATGCACGACAAGAAAGAGAGAGAGAGAGAGACATGGAAGAAAATGTTCTAAACGGTTCTTTCGTATAATTCATGCTCAAACGCACAAAGTCGACGCTCAAAAGTTCTTTTGACAAGCATCAATGTTGATGATTGACCTTCATTCAAAAGAAAAGAAAAGTAGAAAAACGATCATACTCGTCTGGGAAAAGCATAAATTCATATATATATAATTTTTCTAAGTAAATGTCAAAAAGAAAGAACTTATTCAAAAAAAAAAAAGAAGAACTTAAGTCATTGTTGGATCAATACATATCAAAAAAAAAAGAAGAAATTTGTCTTCTTCTAATAAAACGATTACGTACACATCCATTAGGGACCGTGACTGACTAACTGTGTCCACTACAATGTAATATAATGTGCGTACGCTTAATTGAATCATGCCACTGAGCATCCGGTCTTGTTAGCTTCTATTTCTATTTCTTATGAAGACGCGCACAGCGGTCATCGAATAAATGTAAGCATCATGAACGAATGATGACTATTGTCCTAATGACTTTCTAAAATAAGTTTAAAAAAAAAAAAGAATAACCTACAGATCTATCTCCGGAATTTTTTTTTCAATGTACATACATCATTTTTTTTTTGATATTCCTGCTGGTAAAATTATGATTGGATTTATAATCTTTGTTGACCTCGAACATGAAGAACAAAAAAAAGTCTTTTTTTTTCTTCTTACTTTTAAAAAGATTACGTATTGAAACAATTCATTTGTAAAATATACTTATCATTCTTAAAAAAATAAATTCCCCTTTAAATATTTCATATAATCATTCGTAATCATGAGGCATATCCGACAGGATACACTTTGATTTCCGCTTGTTGACGTTGCCATTTTTCTTTTTTCTTTTTTTTTTCATCGACTTATACAACCTAATGAACATATATAAAATATATGTTGTTATTCTAAAAGATGAGATGCTGTTCTTGTTCTCAATTCCAATACAATCGATTTCCGTTTGAACATAGTAGTTGTTCTTGTCTAGAACGGATACGGATTTGACACGAGCTTCATCATAATATGTATTAATTCATTCGTTCAAATAACCTTAACACCTCATCTTATTTTAATTGAGAAAGAAAAGCATGTGATTATTCGCATGCGCTCGTTTTGATCAGATATTGAGTCTCTATATAACGTCTTTTGTTGAAAATTTTTTATTCATCATTAATGTCTAATTGATCTCAAAATACACAAAAAGAAAACAAAAGATGAGATTGAGAAAAAAGTAAAGAATTTAATCATATAAGTGCACAAAAAAGAACATATGAGGAAACAACAACAATAGAATACTCAAATGATTAACTTGATGTAAAGAATTTTTTTTTTTCAACTATCTGACTTTATACAACATAGATCTCATTCATGTATATATATATATATTAGTTGTTGATATTTCACCAATGATGCTGATGATAATTTGAACAAGCTAAAATGATAATTATAAAAATGTTAGTATAAGAAAAATAAAAAAAATATACAAAACATTGAGACGACATTAAATGAATTTATAGATCAGTGCTTAATTTATTTCATGCAGTGGCAAAAGAAAAAAAAAAGCATAAAACAACAGCATAAAAAAAGCTATTTTTTTTCATTAACTAATCACCGATACCGTAAAATGGTGAAATTATTGCTAACAGTTCTCGATTTTCCATAACAGTCTTAATAAAATCATGCTTATAAATAATTCCTTGTTCACCACCTGTAAATTGTCCAAGAAATTGTTGAACAATAGCATGTGATGCATCATCATTTTTGTCATCACCCCCTAGTATTCGTAAAATAGCCTAAAATTTAAAAAAAAAGAAGAATATAATAAGCCCTTAAGATAATTTTATATTACATTTGCCATTTGTTTTATTTCGTCACCAGATATTTGATTATCTCCATTTTTGTCATAAATTCGAAATGTATATTCTATTTTTGACTGTAAATCACCTTTTGTTGTCAATATAAAACCTCGCATGAATTCATTGATATCTATTTTAGATGACTATACATATATATGAAATAAATATATAAATGATACTTACCAACAGTACCACTATGATCTTCATCAAAAATCTTTGCTAATGAATCAACAACATCATTAATACGTGTTGAATCAAGATCGCTCATATCTTTATAAATTGAAATCATTTGTTCTTTAGATAATTTCCCTTTAGTTGATCGATCCTATGAAAATAAAAAAGAAGAAAGAAAAAAATTTTCTCCGAGAAAACCTTTTATTTCATACTAATATTGCTTTGTACCATAATTCTAAATCATGTTGTGACATGCCTAAACAAAAATTTTCAATAGAATTATAGAATTTTCTAATTTAAAAATAGTATTTAACTAATTATCTATAAGTGCAAATCCAATAATAAAGTATTGAACCTAAACGAATTCGTTTCATATTGCAACATTATATTGACTTTTATAAAGTCACGTTGATGATATTGGAGAAGTATGTAATTGGGTATAACTCTATGAATCATATGTTGAAATGAAGCCAATGCTTAGCAATCCAACAAAAAAAATCTATTTTGTTTTTGTAAATCGTTAGTATTTCATATTAGTTAAACATTTATTAAGTTTTTATTCAAAATACAATAATATACATAAATGCTTCCTCAACGACTACACCATACTCTTTAGAAGTTTTTTTTTTGTTATAACAATATCAAATATACTGACAATAATCTTTCTTTCAATTTACATACGTCAAAACAAGATAAATATTATGAAAAATGCTTTGACACAATAGAATAATCATACTAATAATAACTATTTTCTTACCAGTTTTTTGCATAAGTATTTGTTTAGTTTCTTCCAGTAATGATTCATATGTACCATTTTTATTACCCATTTATACGGATAAATTGCAACAAATGATAGGATTTATTTTGATTAAACTCTATTTAAATCTGAATTGCTCCTACACTTTGTTGTTCGTATAGAGATTTATTCACGTCACTATAGCTACGTATAAATGCTTCAGAATGTCGACAGTGATGCTGAAGGGACGAAGTTTTTTTTCTGTGCAATAAAAGAAAAAGAAAGAGTAAAAACAGAACACATGCGCGTGTCTTAATATAGGAAAACAGCTATGGTGGCCTCGAATATATCTATGAGGCGTATCGAGCAACGATTATTTAAAAAGACACGAAGCAGAACAAGAACGACAAAACTCAATGGATGATATTTTTTAACGAAAAGCATTTTGAATAAAACTAGATGATTATATAGACAAGTTAGAAAAATTAATCAAAGCTTTTCTAATTTGCCAACTTCAGAATTTTTTCATGCTGACAATATTTTCTTTATTTTCTTTCAATTACGTTTCTTTTATGTTGTCTATCGAAGAGGAAAAAAGGCAAAAGCAAAGTATCTGACATTTTCTGACACTGTATTTTTCACTTTTGAAATTCATTTTATACGTGTCATTGGCATTATAGTTATTTTTACATTCAATTATTTCATGTAAGAGTTTTTAATCAGCATCAACACATTGAGATTTGATATTACACATTTCTGTTCATTAAATGACTGTGAAGAATTGAGAAAATTTTAATTGAATACCTTAATACATCAACTTATGTTGCTACGTTTATAGCTATATAAGTTTATAAAAATGATAATGTTTTATGAAGATAAATGTATGTATATATGAATAGGCAATATCAATGGAAATTTCATATCAAAAAATTAAATACATTTGTCGCAATAATCATAAGTTTGAGTAACAGCTGAAGAACATCGGCATATTATAGTCATGAAAAAAACAATACAAATATTTCAGGATGACTAAAAAAGTTTACTTTTCCTCCAGCAAAGCATTGAGTATCGCCGTCAGTCTTTGATCAAATGAATTATTTTTTTTCTCTGATATTAATCATAAGAAAAAATACTGTCTTAAAATATGACTTTTGATATATGCATATACAATTAATGACTTTTTTTATGAGTTTCGATGCAATAATATGTTTGTATATGTGGTCATAAAGAAATAATATGTAATATTTGCAATGAATGCACCGGAAAATCGTCATTCGATCTCCAATTCGTATCATAGACTTTTATTTTTCTTAATTAATTTTACTAGAAAATTTTAATTGTAAGCTACTAAAATTATGAAGTAAATTATTTATAAAATGTTGTTAGTGTTTTTTTTTGTAAATCGTCAAAGATCAGTGGTTTATAGTCATGTTAAAACTAGTATTTGAATACAATCTTATTCATGATTTTTCTTATGAATATAAGAGGTGAACATTCTTCTATGGACAGTGAACAAATCAATCCATTTGTTTAAAATATAATGGACATACTTGAGTATTTGTTTTCTCGGTAAGCTTAATTTTGAACTATCGTGAAAATTATGATTCAACTATTATTAGTAGTATAGAAGAAATAGATGATTTTCAACTGAATTTCTAGAATGAATGTAATACTCAAGAATATGATAAAAAAAATAATTTAATCATAGAGTAAATATACAACAGTACATTTCAATCTTCAGTCTTTTTTTCTCTTTTCCGAAAGAAAGGATCGACTTTTAATCGCTTCAATTTATTAGATTATATGCTTAAGAAAACAGTATGCATGAATTAAGATTCGAGTGAGTTAACACATGTTGAGAAATGTGTTTTCTACTTAGTATAAAGAAGATAATTATGTCTTTTCAAATGCGTAAATATAAATTTTTGAATAGTAAATCTTTGTTTTTTTTTTCTTCTTTATTTTTATAATTACTCATAAGAATTAACTCTATGATAAGTGGTTGAGGAAAAGCTCGAGGCAAAAAATAGTAGAAGTAGAAACAGATTATGCACAAACTTAATATCTGGATCAACATCAAAATAAAGCAGGTTATGATGTACAATATGTCTTGACAAAGAAATATAATAAACATTCGTGAAAACATCTAACTGGTTATACATTGATTTCTTCAAAGAAAAAAACCAATTTGAAACCACAATGCTATTAGATTATTTAAATTGATGATCAAGAAAAATTTTGAAAGTAGTTCATGATTATTTATATTAAACATCAATTAAACTTATGAAGGAACGTTTCTAAGTGTCAAGTCGCTTTTGTGTGAGGAATATGTGAATCATGCAGGATCTAATGATTTATGAATATCTTGAAAAGAGTTGGGGTTGATAACTTATTATCGTATTTTTTAGCACAATATGGGGTTACTTCACAGGAAGATCAAGAACAATGAGGTTTGAATTTTGACTTGAAGCTTTGCATTGAGATAGGCCTTGATGAGAATAGTTGATTGTAAAAATTTTACATCTTTTGATTATTTCTATCCTAAGATACATCTATGGTAGGAGCATGTTTTTTCATGTCGCATATATATAACAATGATAAATTTCGATATCTTATTTTCAAAAGCTGTGTCATAAAAGAAACTGACATTTTCACAATCATTTATTCTCATTAACGTCTATCTGTGCGCAAAGCTTCAAGTTGAAATTCGAAGCTCACTTTCTCTCGTGTTTCTGTGGGGAAGAATGACATTGTACTAAAAAATACAGTATTTCGGCAGTAATAAGCTATTTATACAAACTCTATGTAGAGCATTCACGGTTCTTTAGAAACTAAATGTTGTACATAGATCTGACTCAAAAGCAAATTGACATTTGGATACATTCCCTGATAAGGGATGATATTTCCAAATTCATTAATAATCGCAACACAGCTTTTATATGCTCGTTATGAGATGTTCTGTTTGAAAATGATGCGTATTAAAAATTTCTATATTTAAAAAATTAATGCATAAATATTGAAAATAAAACTATTCTGCATTTTACTTCTGAAGGATATCAATATTTGTACTTAGATTTCACAATTAAACCTTAGGTAAACATTATAATTTGAGTACTCAACAAATAGATCGATTTCACAAACTTGAACTTAATTATTCATAAAATAAAAGAATTTCTATTTTAAAACTTACTATAGTAAAATTTCAATTAGTCATTAATCAAATTAAATGATTTTTATCATTATAATGATGAATATTTTTATTTTATTCAAACACAGCATAATAAAACATAAAATATATTTTGAAACAATATAGAAATGAAAGAAAAACAAAATTTTTTATTTCATTTTTTTTCTTTTTTAAGCAACACTTAACAGGCCTAAATCAATGAGTTGTTGAATTTTATTACGCATTGATATATTAGCCGTACGCATTATCCTGTATGCAAAGAAAAAAAAAAAAACATAATTTTTATTTTAAAAAACAAATATACTTCATACCATTGTGCTTTATCAGGTTCTTCACGTAACATTTTCATCAATTTAACAACATCTGGATCAAGTAATAATTGTCGAACTTGTTCATCTTGTAAAAGTTTATTAACTTCTGGATCAATATTTGCTTTTGTTTGTTTTTCTTCTTTATCTTCTATTGAAGTAAAATGAGTACCTAATTCAGACAAAAAAAAACAAATATAACAATTTTTACTATTTGAAATGTATTGTTTTACCAAGTATTTTAGCCATTCGATCAAAAAATTTCATAACTTCAGCATTATGTCCATATTTTGCAAGTGCTTCTTGAGGTTTATGTTGAAATAAAGTAATAGCTTCCATAAAATATGGATTAGAAAAATATTGAGATAATGATTCATCATCTTCAATTTGTTTTAAAAGATCATTTGTTAACCAACTATCTAGAATTCAATTTATTTTTTGTTTATAAATAAAATTTGAAAAGAAAAAAGAAGAGTTTTCAAACTTTTTGATTGTTCTTCTTTTTTAATAGCTTCTTGAACTTCATCAAATACACGAAAATCTTTTGTTTGTTCATTTTTTTTCGATGATATTTCAATTATTTCATTCGATTTTGATTTCGGTGTTGAACTACTATTTAAAAAGCCTTTTTTCATACCAGCAAAACTTTTATCTGTTACAGATTTCTCTATAAAAATAAAATATTTTCAAAACAAAAAAAAAAAACTATTTTCATCATAAAATACCTTTCGGTTGTGGCTCAACATGTTTCACAACTGGAGTTGATACTTGTTTTGTCGTTGTTGTACTTATTGGAATATCTTCCAATGGTGGTATATCTAATTAAACCAAAACAAAACAAAAGAAAGAAAAAATTTAAATGTTTTTGGTTGTATATATTTTCTTTTTACCATCTACGTCAGACATAGTTTATCATAAATCTAAAAAATCATAATGGAATCAAATAACAACAAATAATTCCATTTAAAATTCATTCAAAAAATAAAATTCAATTTTTCAAATTTTTTTTTCTGTTCGATAGACAATTTTTACTAACATAAATGAAATGGCAACAGCAATAAACACAGTGACAAAAACAGCGTCAGTTGTAAAAACTACAAAAGGTAGTGAAAAAAAATGGTCGGAAATTTTATCAATGAATCGTCGGCACGATTTACAATTACCAATTGATCTAGCTAAATATGATCATGACATAAAACGTTCATATAATTTACATCAACGTCAAAAATATCAAGCAGAACGTATATGGGCTAATAAACATGAAACATGGTATCATGATGATTTTTTATTTCGTACTCATTTACTTAAACAATTAAAACCAATAACAAGACGTTTTAAACATATTAATTCACTATCATTAGACGATAATCAAGAACAACAACGAGATCCAATATTAAATGAAGACGAGATCGAACTTTTATCATCAAAAACATCAATAATAGAAAAAAAAGAAAACCCTACTAAAGAATTACCTCCAATAAAACAAAATAAGAAACGTCCAAGTATTCGACATTTTCAAAATTATGCTAATGAAGAAACTCATCCACCAAATGTTGTTTTATCAAAATTAGTTTGTCCAAAAGTATTAAATGAATATGAACCAAGACTTTATTCTCATGCTCATGCATCATTTTTAGATGTAGCCCAACGTTTTCTTAAACATAAACCTGAAACAATTGAAAAACGTGTTGATTATAAAACGAAACAAAAACAACAAAAACAATATGTCAAAGTTCTTATTGATAATGAACAAGAACGTACAAGATTAGCTACTCTCAAATTTCAACAACAATTACAAGAAGATAAAAATAAAGAAGATACTTATGATAATTATGATGATGACAAAGAAAGTTTTTATACCAGACCTTTTTAAAAATAAAATATTTCTTAAATAAAAACAAAAAACATTTTTCTTTTCTGAAATTATTATTTATTTCTTCTTATATCGTTTTTAAAAACTACGGACAACACAGCAAGACAAGAAAAAAAAAAAGAAGCGAAATTTTTATACAAAGTTATTCGAATAAATAAAATTTTCCAATAAAACTAAACGTAATAATACGCAAAATAAACCAGAAAAACTACATGTCTACCAAATAGTTTTAAAACAGAAGAAAAATCAAAAGAAAAAAGAAAAACACTGTTTAATACAAGATATTGAATAAACTAATCATTAACACGAATTAAACTATCATCGCTATTATGAATAATAAAATCTAAATCTTTTTCACGCATACTTTTAAGACTGTTCAGTAATGCATCAAATGATGTACCTGTTAGAAGAGAACTACCTTTGCCACTATCTATTAAATGATCATGACCATTATTAAATCCATTTGTTATATCGAATGTATTTAATGGTGGTACGAAAATTGGTGAATGACAACGTGAACTAGTCGTACTTAAATCTTCAGATAATGTATCAGTATATCGATTTTGTAATGTTGAATGTATTTCAGATGTACGTTTAGTATTACTTGTTGGACTATGAGTATTTTCTATGACATCATTACTAATGATAGATGCATGATGAGTTTTATTCATTGATTGATCAGCATAAATATCATTACCAAAATTCGATAATACTTGTGATTCATCTATAAATATGAACAAAAGAATTTATTAGTTTAAAGAAATTTTGTAACTTGGATTCTATTTTTAATTTAATAGATGATGTAGAAGTAGTGTCATAAAATTTCAATCTCTATTTTTCTTTCATAGAAGAGTGCTGAAAACAAAACCTTTTTATGAGTAAATAGAGCTTTTTGTACTCTTTCGAACCGTATATAATTTGTTTTAATACATGTTTATCAATAAAATGACACAACAGAAAAGAGCAATACTCTTTAAAAACAAAAGAGTGTTTTTGTCGTAAGATTTAAAAAAAAAACGACGAAAAAATCTTGATTACTATGTTTGTTTGATAAACAAGTTTAAAAATAAACATTTTCTTTTACTGATTGACAGAAAATTCGCTCCTATTTTAAATAGTATATGATTAATATTTGTCACGTATTCGTAAATGAAATATAACGGAAAAAAATTATGAATTCATCCGAAAAAAAAAAGGCTTTAAAAACGATGGTTACTTCAATTTTTATAAACTCGCTAAGAAAATCTTCTAAAATGACACTTAATTATATTTAAATATCGTCTAAATAGATACTTTTTATGAATTAGTATAACAAACATTTTTTTTTACACAAGAATTTCTCTTCTCGTTTCAATTCATTTATGAATACATGACAAAAATATAAATCATATAATTGTTCAAAATAGGAGAAGATATCCAATCATCTAGTAAAAACAGATTCATTTCGAAATGTCTTGTTCAAAGAGATATATATATAGTGATCAACATTTTGTATCACTTTTCTGAATCCCACAAAAAATTTAAACTTTTGTTTTTAAAAGGTACTTTGCTTTTTCTGTTGCATCCTTTGATTAAGAACCTGTGATAAAAACTAATTATATATAATTCCGAAAAGAAGAAAAAAAAACTCTATCTAGTCGTAAAAAACTTTTCTATAAGCACTCCTCTATAGAAGAGAAAAAGGAGTCGTATTTATGTAACATTAATTTTGCATTGTATGTTATTCCGAAACTAAGTATAAACGAAGAGACGAAAAACAAAACCTCAATATTAGTATAGCTGTATACAAGTAAAATAAACTAAGAGAATCAATCCATTTCAATATATAATGATTAAGTAGAATACTTAAGAATTGACAATGTTAGAATTAAAATTGTTTTAACAATTTTTTGTTCAGCTGAGTGTAGTCAAACCTAGTTTCAAAATGATTACAATATCAAGGACATATTTCGTCTAATCGACATGTAAAAAGGCCCTTACGTAACATATCAGATCAATTTTCGTTCACTTATAAGTTACTGAAGAGAAACTCAAGTAACCATAATTTAAATAAATGAAAAACGTTATGTGTACGAAGCCAAATAGACTTCTTTTTGTCATTCATAATTGCTATGGTTAAGATTTTAAGACATTTCTGGTTTATTATCATATCATAGATTACAATAAATTGGAAAGTAAAAGAATCATATCTTATACACATTTGTTGAATGATTACTCTTTGTATAAAAAAAGACATTTGTCAAAAATATTGTTTTTTTTTTTGAATTCCAGCATTTCAAATGCAATGGATTTCGATCGTTTGTAGCAATCTGTTCAATTACAAATATATGTATAAAAAGACTTTCTTACAGCTTGAATTGAGGTAATTTTTAATCAGAATATAAAATAGAAGCATAGAAAAAATTTTTGTTAAGTCGTCTTTTTTTAGCCTTCGGCAAAGATTTATTCTCAATTAGCTAATTTTAGATAAGAAAAAAATTCTGATCATACAATTAGAACAAGCATAAAGTTCTGATTTTATCTAACTGCTTTTTGGAGTTTTTTTTAGTAACTTATAAGTAAACGAAAATTGACTAAACGTGTTGTTCAAAGATTTTTTTTACACACATGTTATTATTGCATGGAATGTTCAAGAAATATAATAACTATTCTTTGTTATCACTTTTTTGCCATGCTTATTTTACATCGATAGATATACTTCTTTGAACCAAATTACACGATGCAAAATTCATCTATCTAGTTGACTATATTATTAGACTTCAGTTTTCTATCTTTATCAAAATTACTATGAAATAGCACTCAAAAGTATATCATGACATCAATCATGAATAATTAGTCAGAAAATTAGAAGATCGTAATTTTCTGCATTATCATATAACTGAAACAGGAAATGAATCTTATACTCATTATTCTATCTGATTGCTTCAGGTTATATCATTAAGTAATTAATACATACTAAAAATAACTTATGAACTATTGTCAGTTTATAATCAGTGATTCAACGATGCATTATTGAATTTTATGATAAACAAATTCTTCTATACATAATTCTAATTTTATGATAAACTGAATGAAAAGCTGTTAGTACAATCATTGCAGAATGAAAAACACCATTCATTTACTGAATGCTTCAAAAATAGCATAAGAAAGTAGTTAAATATATTATAACGAGACGTTATTAATATACGATCTGTGATCGTAAATCAATAAGAGTGGCAATATTTTTAACTACTGACTTTTTTCAACATTTATTTCACTTTATTATTTGTCAATAAAGTGTAATGAGTGTATAGAATGTCATAGATCTAGAGAAGAACCATATTTATAAATGAATATGTAGTTTTTCTACAGATACACGTACTCCACTCACTAGTTGTTTTGATCATACATGAATCTGTTTGATCCATGAAAACAAAATACTGAATGTGAATGAGGAGTTGTGTGAATCGTGTAGAAACATCCAAGAGATCATGAAATGTCACTACTTGCAAAAAAATTGGTGATCAAAAGTGTTTTTTCCTCTGTCAACAATGTCTATTTCGATCTTTGTGAGAGGAAAAGTGCAAATTTCTATTCACTATGCTTCAACACTCCTTTTTAAATTGTGTTTGAAAAAAAAAATTTAAGTGAATTATGAATTATAACTAAATATATATATATGTATATGATTAATCTTACGTGTATTAATTTTATTTGGAAATTTTGATGTAATTGTTGTTGATGATGAAACTGTTGTATTTAAATTCATTTTAGTTTGATTAACATCATCCGAAAGAGATGAATCATGTTGTTGACGATTATCTGCTAAATATTCATGTTGATTTAATGATGTTGTTGACATTGATGAAATATCAGATTGATATTTATTTTTATTTTGATCATAATAATTAAAATTTCTATGTATTTGTTGATTTTTATTATTATTATTATCATCATCATCAAGATCACTAATAAGTTCATGTGAATTATTTTTATATGTAGATTGTTGATATGATTGAAGAAATTCTTTCGTAAATGTTTTTGGTGATGATTGTAATATAGATAAATCTTTTGTTTGATAATTTATATCATCTTGTTCCTTAAGACGTTTTTCCAATAATGTACGTAATGTATTTAATTGATTTGTTGCACGTATACCATAGGTTTTTGGTGATGGGACTGTAAAAAAATATAAATAAATAAAATGCAAAATAAAAATAAAAAAAAAAAAAAACAACGAAAATTTTAGCATTAAAGAAAAATAAAAATAAACTTAAAAAAGACGATAAATATTATCATCATATGGTTGATATGATTTAATTACAGGTGTTAAATCAGTTCGTCTACGTCGAAAATTTATTGAATGATTATTTAATGGAATAATTCCATTTCTATTTGGATATTTGTCGAAGAGAATTGTCATAGGTAATAATGACTTACTAAATGATGTTGAATTCGATAATTTTTCATCATAAAAATGTTTTATTTGATCAAGTGGTGTTTGCATAAAATTATTTGATGTTTGATCAGAAAATTGTTCAAGTAATAATTGATCATCAGTTTGTTCTTGTTCATTTTTCATAATATGTATATTATTTATTGTTTGACAAGCTTCATTACGTGTTGAATATGTTTTTCGATTATGTTGAATATCTTCAGAATCTGAACTATTATGAATATGATATGGAACTATTCGATGATGACGTTTTGATGATGAATATCGAGGTTTTTCATTATTTGTATTTGTTACATTGATTGTTGATGATGAGGAGGAGGATGGTGTTGGTGATAGTTTTCTGTGACGATTTCGATGATGAGTTTTATTTGGTGATGAAAATGATTTTTTTGATGATGTTGATATAACATCAGATTTATGATGAGTATTTTTTGGTGTTGTTATTGGCGATGTTCGTTGAGTTATTGTTGTTATATTATTTGCTTTAATATCATCTATTTCATAAAGAAAAAAACAGATTCAGTTTTTAATGTAGCTATTCTATCAAGTCGGCTTCTCTAACGGG